GAGCTGACCTAGTCAGACCTCATCTGATACATCAAAGTTTATAAACATCGGGATATTGGTATCTGAAAATTAGATAGCTATTTGATCAATAGTCATTTTTAACTTATATTTGCTTTCAGTTGGATCAGATTAGCTATATTGGGAAAAAGAGGTTTTTCCTGATGGCCGCGCTGCCGCCATCCTCAACACATTAACTACTCTGCTTGTCACAGTTCCTGCTCTGGTTTCAAGTTCTCTCAATGGCTTGTAGCCGTGGTGGTGTGAGTAAGACCAATTGCTTTACAACACCTCTCAAAGTGCTGATCCCGTGATTTGTGCATCTTTAGGCTAGTTATCAAAAGAATGCTGTTTGATGCAAATGCTCGACATGTCTTCAACTGGATCCGCGAGGTCCCATGGTTACCAAGAGGGAAAAGACGCTGCATGAGAGGGGTGAACTAAAGGATCCATCAGGTCTCTCGAAAAGAGTACTTCAGCCTTCGGCGAGAGTTCCTGTCGAGAAGACAACACGATTTCAAGAAAGGCAGATACTACCTGCTCGTAATACAGAACCAGGTTTGCATCAGTCAATTCTAACTCCCGGTCAGCCTAGGTTCACAGGAGATCATGCCTTGAGTTCCTCCGAGTCCTCTCACAGCCCTGTTGTACCGTCTCAGCTAATGGTACATCCTACATAACACTTTTTGCCCCATCAACTCATACCTTTATGCTCGAAGACTCAGAATGATGTCAATACCCTGTCTGTTAAGTACGTATCTTCCGGAAGTCGTGGAGATCTCGATAAGACCTCGGAGGATACAGACTCTGTTGTATAGTGGTCTATGGCCTCAGCTTATGTGCTGTGCCCTGCTCAAATTCAGGGCCCTATTTGAGTTGACCGTGTCTCGCACGAAAGGGTCAGAAGAATCGGAGTCTCCAAAGTACCAAGGTACTCGAAGATGTCAGAGAACGGGATGCGCAAAGTACTAAGTCAATTAGTACCTGCAGAGTCAAGTCTCGAGACGAGTCTAATGACAAGTCTGATACGGAAGAACTCGAAGACGAGCTCGGAGGTTCGGATGGAGAGAGTCTGGAGACTAAGTCGATAATTTGACTGAAGAACGAAGTACATAGTAACTACGCTTAAATACTGTTCTACAAGGATACTCGTGTAAAACATGAGTCGTGTGTGTCCATGTGGAAATACAATGTGTTCCGGGAAATCGAAGAATCGGAGATAGTAAAGACAATAAGAAAGTAACTCATGTATCGATAAGAATGGAGATCATGTGGAGAGATGAGTCATACAATCATAGCCAAGAGAGATGTGACAGGTGACAGATAAGATATTGGAAGCGTACTTGGAAGATATCGAAAAGAATCGGAGATCGGAGAAGGAAATCAAAGATAAAAGGAATAAACACTAGCCCCTTCAGGGACTTTTTCCACAAGTAGTGACAGAAATACATGGCAGATTTCCCAATAATTGTGGTTGGACTGTGCATAATAACAAGATGTCATGTGGCCATATGATGTGGTCTACCTAGTAGTAATTTGTTGCTCACAGGTAGTGATATACTTGCATGCAAGGACAACTTGAGGAAAGCAGTCTTAGATACACTTGAAGTGATGCGACTATAGTTTCTCAAAATTAATACTATTGCATTCATTTCACTGTATACACAATCACTAGGGTATATAAATCCCCTGTAATAGCTGCATTTGTCCTACATCTAGTGGTATACATATGCTACCTACTTATACCACTATGAATGGTGTAGGCATATGTGTGTCAAACTCAATATAAGTAGTATAGCTATGTGTTGCAATACAATCTTCATCTCTATCAAGAATGATAAAACTATACTTTCTGAGATGTTGCAATAATCATTGACAGTGACACAAGTGTACTTACTGAAAACTGTTTATAATGAATATATCCCCATACAAATGAATTAGTGAGCCCATATTTACATTAGGAACGAACTTTGCCTTACTGATGTTGGCCAAACTGCAGGTCTCCAAACTCTCCTTGATTCACTGGCGGTGGTGGAACTATATCTCCCTGTATTCACTGGCCGTAGCAAAACTACGGCTATCAAACATGTCCTGGATTCACCAGTGGTGGTGGAACTGTAGCTGCTGAAAACATTCTGGCTTCAATTGTGGTGGTAAAACCAAGGCTTAAGATGACCTTCGAAATATAGGTGAATCCCTGTAACGTCACGTGCTGAAGAAAAGTCATTCAATCCTTAGGTGCAAAAAACTCAAAAGATCCATTCACGATCTATAA